AGCCGTGCAGAAGAAACGCCTCACGAAGGAGGATCTCACCTTCACAGACGCCATCCACATCGCCCAGGCCAGCGAACATGCCGTTGCAAAAGCCCGCCAGCTGCGAAGCCTTGGAACTGAGCCCCCGAGGCGCCGTTGAGCTATCGCCTCAACAATCAGAAACCGGTCCTTGTTACAGGTGTGGCAAGGCTGACCACACTGCAGCTGTTTGTAGATTCAGGACTGCCCGCTGTCACAACTGCAACAAGATAGGTCACATCGCAGCTGTGTGTAGACAGAAGAAGTCACAGACTTCACCAAGCAGATCAACACAGAGGAAAAGGAAGTCACAGGGAATCAGGTCTGTGCAAGAGGAGGAATCTGAGTCCTCAGAAGAAGATGTGGGACTGAAAACGATTAGGTGTGAGCAGGGTAAGCCCATGGACCTGTACCTCAATGGAAAGCCATTGACCATGGAGCTCGACACAGGGGCAGCCTTTTCACTCGTGTCAACCAAGGTGTTGGAGAACCTGTTGCCTGAATCGGAGCTGAGGCCGGCCACTACTCAACTTCGCACATATTCGGGAGAGCACATAGAAGTCCTGGGTCAGGTGGAGGTCGACGTCGGTTATGCTACTCAACAAGCTACATTGCCTTTGTACGTGGTGAATGGAACAGGCCCGAGCCTGTTTGGCCGCAACTGGCTGGAAGCCATTCGTCCAGAATGGGAGTCGATTCGGTCCATCCGAGCCTCAGATGTGTCCCTTGAGAATCTGCTAGAACAACACAAGGAGGTGTTTGAAGGCCTGGGGGCACTCAAGGGACACAAGGCGAAGATTTCGGTTGACGTCGGTGCACAGCCTCGCTACTGTAAGGCATGCCCAGTCCCTTATGCCTTGAGAGAAAAGGTGGACCAGGAGCTGGATAGGCTCGAGAGGGAAGGAATCATCGAACCGGTACAATTCGCAGATTGGGCCGCCCCGGTGGTTCCAGTTCTGAAACAAGACAAGAAGTCTCTCCGGCTTTGTGGCGACTTTAAGCTCACTGTCAATAAGGCTTCGAAACTCGACAAGTACCCCATCCCGAAGATAGAGGACTTATTTGCACGTCTCACCGGTGGAAAATCGTTCTCGAAACTCGACATGTCACAGGCCTATCAACAACTCGTCCTCGACGAGGAGTCACATGAGTATGTAATGATAAACACCCATCGTGGCCCCTATCGTTATAATCGTTTACCTTTTGGGGTATCATCAGCCCCGGGCATTTTCCAACGGGTGATGGAGTCAATCCTTAGAGGGCCTACCCGGAGTAGTTGTTTATCTTGACGACATTTTGATTACAGCCCCGACAGATGAGGAGCATGTGGGGATGCTAGCGGTGGTATTGAAGAGGCTCGAGGAAGCTGACCTCCGCCTCAAGAAAGAGATGTGTGTGTTCCTTGCCCCGTCTGTGATTTATCTCGGTCATGTCATCGACTCTCAAGGCTTACACCCTATCTGGGAGAAGGTGCAAGCGATTCAGGAGGCTCCTCCACCAATCAACGTCGCTAAACTGAAGTCGTACTTAGGACTTCTGTCATATTATTCCAAATTCCTGCGCAACCTCTCAACCACCCTGGCACCACTCTACAAGCTCCTAAAACTGGATGAGCCGTGGCGATGGACAGGCGAGCAGCGTCAAGCTTTCGCAAAGTCGAAAGAGCTCCTACTCTCATCACAAGTTCTGGTTCACTTCGACCCCAAGCTTCCGATACGTTTGGCCTGCGACGCATCGGACTATGGCATCGGTGCCGTCCTGTCACACGTGATGCCTGACGGGTCAGAAAAACCTGTCGGGTTCTTCTCTAGATCACTCACTCAAACAGAGAAAAACTATTCACAAATTGAGAAAGAGGCATTGGCATGTGTGGTGGGGGTGACCCGTTTTCACTCCTATCTCTGGGGCCACCATTTCACCTTTCAGACGGACCACAAACCTCTCCTCACACTGTTCAACGAGAACAAGCCAATTCCTCAACAAGCGGCCAACCGTATCCAGCGTTGGGCCTGGAAGTTAGCATCCTACGAATACTCCATCGAATGGAGAGCCTTGAGTCAGCATTCCAACGCAGATGTCCTCAGCCGACTTCCTTTACCGCACACGCCGGCTATGACCACGATACCAGCGGAGTTGGAACTCATGGTGGAGAAACTCGACGAAGCTCCAGTTACTGCAAAGCAGGTGACACTGACCAGGCGTGATCCGGTCATGGCCAAAGTCTACCACTACATTCAGAATGGCTGGCCGACGCGTGTGGACGAGCCAGCATTGAACCCTTACTGGACACGCCGACTGGAGCTATCCACTCTCAATGGGTGTGTTACCTGGGGCAGTCGCGTCGTGATTCCGCCACAAGTCCGCGATGTGCTACTAGCGGAGCTACACAGTGGACACCCCGGTTGCTCGCGAATGAAGTCATTGGCATGAGGGCTGCTGTGGTGGCCACATCTCGACAAAGATATCGAGGCAACAGTGAAACAGTGCGAGAGCTGTCAGCAAGGGCAGCCCTTACCTTCGGCAACGCCACTGCAACCGTGGACTTGGCCAACAAGCCCGTGGTCCAGACTGCACATTGATTTTGCCGGCCCCGTAGCTGGGAAGATGTTCCTAGTGGTCATTGATGCCCACTCAAAGTGGATTGAAGTGTCACCAATGGCCACAGCCACTTCCACTACGATCCAGCAACTCCGCCAGATGTTCGCACGTTTTGGGTTACCGGACACGGTCGTATCGGACAACGGTCCACAGTTTGCGTCATCAGAATTTGCAGAATTTTGCCATGCAAATGGGATTCGTCATATCCTAGTGGCTCCGTGTCATCCCGCGTCAAATGGTTTGGCTGAGCGAGCTGTCAGGATTCTCAAGCAGGGGCTGAGAAAGATGACAGAAGGCTCTCTGTCCAATAAGCTTGCGAGATTCCTTTTTCACTACAGGAATACCCCACATTCAACGACAGGGATGATTCCAGCAGAATTGCTCATGGGTCGAAAGCTTCGCTCGAGATTGGATCTCGTCAAACCGAATCTCCAACAGTACGCCCGAGACAAACAGGAACACCAGCGATGGCAACATGATCTTCATGCCACGCAGCGCACGTTTGGGGAGGGGGAAGAAGTGTTTGTAAAGAATCACAGAGCGGGAGATCCATGGTTACCTGGAGAAATCATCAAGGTGACAGGCCCTGTGTCGTACATGGTGAAAATGGCAGATGGGAATGTAGTTCGCAGCCATCAGGATCATCTCCGAAGTCGTTACGCGGGAGGGCAAGCATCGCAGAGTCAGCCAACTGAGGATGTCGATGACTCGGACAGTCACATTACAGAGGACCCAGGCCAGCCTGATAGGGACACACCGTCTCCAGACTCTGCCTTTGAGATAACAGCACCGCACGAGTCGATCCGTCGTCCCCTGTCTCCGATGAAGCTACCTCTGAGACAACGGCACCCGCACAAGTTGTCCCGTCTTCACCTTCCTCATTGCCTGGCTCCGACAGTAACGTGTCAACTGATCCTGTCCCTTCGACACCCACTATGCCTCAGCGCCACAGGAGACAGCAGTCTATGCCAGGGAGAGTCTATCCGCAGAGAGAACGTCGTGCACCAGACTACTATGGGAAAACTTGACTGTTCACTTAATTTTCAACTAGCTGCGTTATCACAATGTGGAAGCGTCTGTTGATTCTACGCTAGTGGCGCCACGAAAAATTAAAGGTGTACATATATAGATTATATTTTTATTTTGCCATATCCAGTTACAAAATAATGTTAGCTACTTGATCTTTGTGGATATTATAAGAGGAAGTTTTATCTGCAAAGTGGGTTTTAGAGTCAAAAATAGTCTACATTGTGCATTTGCAGAGTTTTGCTCAACTTGCAGTAGCTACCATTGACCCACGTTTCTAAGGGTAGCGTATAGTTCGACATAGCACTGCATCCTGTGAGAGATGGAGGGCTGGCTCAAATTTTTTTATAAAACAACCCTGGACTACAAACAGTTCAGAACATTAAGTTATCTTTTCTAGGATTGAACAATGCATGCTCGAAGATTATTGCTACATTGAGGGTTATAACTGTGTTCTTATGGAGCATTGTTAAATGGAAAGAGAGTTGTGTGTGTGACATGTACTTCATTCCCAACTCATCTTCTTAGTCAACAATGATGTTGATGTATAGCATTTGGCTGACACACGAAGGAAAAATGGCTGCTCTCATCTTCATGCTGCTTGTCGTCATCGTTGCAAGGAAAGCATATCTGGTTGAAGGGCAGAAGCAGTGTCCTCCGTGGTTTGAATGGATGAACAGCTCAGACTCCTCTGGTTATTGTGCCTGTGCTAATGAAGTACCAATATTCATCAAATGTGACCAGAAAAGACAAATGTCTTTGCTCTCACAAGGCTCATGTATATTCTATGACTCCAGAGAAAACAGAACGCGGGCATATTGGTGTACATTTGCGTTTGTTGGAAATGCAACTGAAAAAGGAATGTTCTCTCTCCCAGCAAATCTCAGTGAGTTGAATGATTATGTTTGTGGCAATCTCAGTCGAGAGGTGAAAGGCCCAATGTGTGGAAGATGTACTAACAATACTGGACCATCTGTATACTCCGTTGGGAGTAGATGTGTGCCTTGCAGTCCAGTCAATATCCTCTACTACCTCCTCCTACAATACTTCCCTTCTACTTTGATATTTTTGGTATTAATTTTCTTCAGGCCAAATATTACTTTTGCTCCAATGATGAATTATGTGATATTTTGTGATTCTATAGTGCTTGGTTTTAGATTGAATTTGTGGGCTTATTTACAGCTCGATAACAACAATGTAGCAATATCTGCTGTAACACTGTGTTCCATATGGAGTTTTGATGCTCTTCTCTTTGTCTCTCCACCACTGTGCTTATCACAGCACATGCAAGAGATTTACATACCGTTCCTTGAACTACTTGCTACTACGTATCCCTTTGCTTTACTCCTTCTAACCTATAGTTTGATACAATGTCATGCCAATAACTTCAAGCCAGTTGTGGTTTTATGGAGACTATTTAGCAGAGTTTATGTGCATTTTTACCGCTCCTGGGACCCCAGCTCGTCAATGATACAAGCATTTTCATCGCTGTTTTTTTTGTCTTATGCAAAAGTCACTTATCTCATTTGGGAGACATTTACATGGACAACAGATGTAACTGTTGGAAGTATTGGGGATGAGACTGTTTTGTACATTGATCCAAATGTTCCCTATCTGTCTAAAAAACATGTCTTGTTGATGGCATTTTCAGTGGCAGTGGCAGTGTTTGTCTTTCTTCCACCTCTCCTCATCCTAGTGGTCTACCCCACCTCACTGTACAGGAAGATCAGTCACTGGATCAGTCCAAAGTGGAGGCTTAGAATCAAAACATACGTCGAAATATTTCACGGATGCTTGAAAGATGGCACAGACGGAGCTCGAGACTACAGAGCTTTTGCAGGATGGTGCATAATACTTGCAGGAGCTGTTCCTCAGCTGTTGATTGTCATAATATCAGCAACTATTCCCAGTTCACTGACCAATTTCTTGGTGCCTTCTTATGCACTGGCTATTTACTTCAGTGGATTAGCCTTTCTCTGCACTCTCCTACAGCCTTATAAAGAGAGAGTTGCCAATGCTCTAACGGCAGGAATTTTAACCATCTCAAGTCTCATATGTGCACTCTCTGCGAGTGTGTTCAATACCCGCGGAAATGATGTTCTATTTATTGTTATTGTTCTTATTCTTGTCCCACACTGCGTGCTTTGGGGCTATGTGACTTGGAAAATAACAGCCACGCTATGCTGCAGATTTAGAGGAGGAAGGAGTCAGCTACTAAGTGTAAATAGTAATAGAATGTCGGTGTTTGATTCTGCATCAGTTGAACCGCAATGACCTACATCATATATGGCTGTTCTTGAGTCGTGCACATAATACAATCATTCACGATGCGTATCCATGTATATACCCACTTTACTGCTGTCACAATAATAATACTTATTTCTTGTGTTTACAGTCTTTCTAACGCGTCTTTCCTTGCTATATTGCCACACATTTCCATAATGGTGCAAAACATGATCACCACTTGTATGATAACAATAGTACTTCCCAAACATATATATTTAATGACTATGACTCGCACTGAACATCACTCCTTGGTGAAAAACACAGGCAATCGCGTGTGAGACAAGAATTATGTATCTTTTGCTCTTACTTATGCTAGTGAGTTCAACTGTGGTTGGAAGTCCAGTTGAAGCAGTGAAGGAGTGTCCTCCATGGTTTAAACTAGTTGATGCCTCAAACTCCACTGGTTATTGTGCCTGTGATGTGGAGCTACCAGTGACTGTTTACTGTGATCAGATAAACCAGATGTCTTTCCTTGCTCAAGGCTCATGTGCTTTTCACGACTTTGGAGATAATATAACCAGAGTATACTGGTGTCATTTCCTCTTTCCAACAACAATGGAGCGACTTTCCCTTCCACCAACTGTAAGTGAGTTGAACAGTGTAGTGTGTGGAAATCTCGGTCGAGAGGTGAAAGGCCCACTGTGTGGAAGATGTGCTAACAATACTGGACCATCTGTATACTCTGTTGGAAGTAGATGTGTACCTTGTAGTCCGGTCAGTATCCTCTACTATCTCCTCCTACAATACCTCCCTTCTACTTTGATATGTGTACTAGTTATCATTTTCAGGCCCCGTATCACTTCAGCGCCCATGGCAAATTATATATTCTTTTGTAATTCAACAGTGCTCTATTTCAGGTTTATTCTATGGGCTTATATCAAACTTGATGGCATTATAGGAAAGACTACCCTAACACTCAGTGCTATATGGAGTTTCGATGCTTTGTTTTTTGTCTCTCCTCCACTTTGTCTATTAGAGCACTTAGATGAGTTTTATATTCCTTTTCTTGAGTTTTTAGCAACCATTTATCCATTTATTGTACTCATGATGACTTACGGGGTTATAAAATTGCACATGAACAACTTCAAACCAGTTGTTGTTTTGTGGAGACCGTTAAGCAGAGTTTATGTGGGGTTCTACAGAGCCTGGGACCCAAGATCATCCATGATTCAGGCCTTTGCATCACTCTTCTTTCTGTCTTATGCCAAACTCAGCTATCTCATTTGGGAAAGTTTTATGTATAGCACAGATATCAGTAACAAAGGTCACATGCTGTTGTACATTGATCCAAGTGTTCCTTATCTTTCTCAAAAACATGCTTTGTTGATGGCATTTTCAGTGGCAGTGGCAGTGTTTGTCTTTCTTCCACCTCTCCTCATCCTAGTGGTCTACCCCACCTCACTGTACAGGAAGATCAGTCACTGGATCAGTCCAAAGTGGAGGCTAAGAATCAAAACATACGTTGAGACTTTTCACGGCTCATTTAAAGATGGTACCAATGGAACCCGAGATTACAGGTCATTGTCTGGGTGGATCCTGCTTCTGTCAGGATTTTTTCCTCAGCTGTTAATCACCATCGTATCATTTTTTGTGCCTGGTTCACAAAGTGATATCTATGTGTCCTACCCTGTCGCTTTACTCTTCAGCGTCATCGCAATCCTCTGTACCTTTCTACAGCCGTATAAAGAGAGAGTTTGCAATGCTCTGACAACTGGACTTCTAGTGATTTCGAGTTTGATCTTTGCAACTGCGACAGGCTTCTACAATACCAACAGCAGAAACGAACTGGTGAAGTTGATGATGCTTGCTCTATTGATGACACCTCACTGTGTTCTTTGGGGTTACGTAGTTTGGAGAGCTACGTACTATTGCAGGCATTCACGAAAATGTGCAGGTGGAGGAAGAGAGGGGCTACTTGATTTATTGGCTGAAAGAGTCAACTATGATGCCACTGTGGATAGAGGTTCTTGCAGAACCTACTGAAAATTCATTACATTGTGTGTGTGTGTGGGTGTGTGTGGTTCTTAGTGTTGTTTTCCCCAATCCCAACACTTTGTTAAAAAAATGTTTTGTCAACTTTCTCTATGTGACAGCAAAACTTTTCATTACACTTGGGAAAGTGCATGGGTATGTACAAAGATCTAGAATAAAAGCAAACTTGTAAGTTATGAAAAGAGTGATGTATCGAAACACAAATACAGCTGTAACCAAAACACCGCATGGTGCATGTGTGTGAGTAAGTTAGCTACTGAACTAGATCTTGTTCTGTCTCAGCTTTAGGAGAGCACTCAGCTCATTGCCAGCACCACTTGTAACTTCAATGCTTGGACTACTGTACTTCGCACCCTGGGAAACAGATAAACACAAAAATTATAAATTTCCAGCAAAGTATTGTCAAAATTGGAAATTAGATAGAAATATGTGAATCGCTTGTTTAGCACCCAGTTCTCAATTTTAATTTTCAGTTGTTTAATAATAATCTGATGGTAGCATCAAAGACCAAGGAATAATTAACATATATGAGGCTTACCGCTTTTGCGGCTTTCTTGAGTTTGATTTTGCTCAATTCTGTGTCCTTGTTCTCGTCTTCCAGTTTCTTTGGGGATTTCAGGTCTTCTCTCTTTACGGGATTCAGCCTCACCGGCAGTGACTTCTTTTCCTCCTCATCGCTGTGCAGTGGGAGTGTGACAGTTGGAGTCGGTGGTGGGATGGTGAGTGGTGAAGGGGTCTTGGTGACGGGTCGAAGTGACTTGTCTTTTGGGGAGGAAGACTTTGGTTCAGATGAAGCTGCTGCAAACATGAAAGGTTTAATTAGAGGTAACTGAAGCAGGGGTTAGAAGGGAAAATGCCCCCTCGGTCCATGGTAGGTATGTGTGCACGAGCTTACTAGCTGGTGGCCATTTCTTGAGTACATGTCCACGACCTTCTGGCTTCCCTGAAACAACATGTATTTCGGTTCATAATGAATAACAACACATTATTCGGTGAGTGCGTGCAGGCGGGGGGATGAGAAAAAGGAATCAAGTTTTTTGGGCTCAAAACTAGTAACGCCAGGGAACGAGGCTGAGTCTGTGTGAAGATTGGTGCCGTGTCCAAACCTGGTAGAGTAGGTGTGGTTGGTTTGTCGTCTGACGGTGTAGGTGGCTGCCATTTCTTGAGGACACTTCCATGACCTTCTGGCTTCCCTGAAACAACATGTATTTCACTTCATATTCGGTGCGGTAGGTCGCGTGTGCGTGAAGGTGGGGGGTGAGAAAAAGTAATCAAGTTTTATGGCCTCAAAAGTAACAACGCCAGGGAACGAAGCTAAGTGTGTGAAGATTGGTGCCGTGTCCAAACCTGGTAGAGTAGGTGTGGTTGGTTTGTCGTCTGACGGTGTAGGTGGCTGCCATTTCTTGAGGACACTTCCATGACCTTCTGGCTTCCCTGAAACAACATGTATTTCACTTTATATTCGGTGCGGTAGGTCGCGTGTGCGTGCAGGTGGGGGATGAGAAAAAGGAATCAAGTTTTATGGCCTCAAAAGTAACAACGCCAGGGAACGAAGCTAAGTGTGTGAAGATTGGTGCCGTGTCCAAACCTGGTAGAGTAGGTGTGGTTGGTTTGTTGTCTGACGGTGTAGGTGGCTGCCATTTCTTGAGGACACTCACTCCAGATGGCTCCAACTTTGCCTCCGGTGGTTTGTAGTCCTTTTCCTTCGGTGGAGGCCATTTCTGTCAAGTATGTATAATTATATAGGGGTGAATATTGTATGGTGATGATGGTGTTGACACATATATAAAAGTGGAAGAACCCTTTGCATATCAGCAAAAAAGACTGCTGTGAATTGGTTGTCTAAATGTATACCTGACTTTAATTTGCTTAAAACATTTCACCTTCAGAACAGGTTTCCTGTCCTCTTCGCCCTCTTCCTCTTCTTCGACATCTTCTTCCTCCTCCTCTTCATCATCCTGTCAAATAGATAATATCATCATAGTCAATGAACTCAACTGCCACTAAGCATGCAGCTAGCTAGCTATATGTACATCCCCAGAGCCTCATCTTACCAAATTAGTTACTGTGTTTTCTTGAGTGTCTGTTGCTTCAGGCATCATCTCTTCGGTATCCTCTTTGTTCTCCTCCTCCTCTTCCTCTCCTTCCTCTTTCTCTTCACTGCTTGCCTTGTCTTCAAAGGCTGGGGGGTCCTCCGACGCCATGTGTTGGGCGTACGCATCATACGGCACTTCGTCTTCATCCTCTGTGCTTACCATACCAGCTGCAGGTGAAACAAAAGTGCTACGACAGTGATTTTTAACTCAGAAAGCTTATCATGATGTGGACTTTACTTTCTAATGCCAAATACATGTTTAGGATGTGGTAACTAATACTCTGTGTGAGTATTGCCGGCAATGACGAACAACCTATTAGCATGACTGTGGAGAGATGGAGTTTAAGTATTCTGTCAATGTGAGGTGGCTGTCACAGAATGTGTTGTAGAATGCTACACATGAAGAGGTGTGTGTGTGCTCTCAACCTTCGCTGGGAGCACTGCTGCTGAATCCAGTGGCAGGAGTTGGAGGTGGGGTGGGCGGGGCAGCCCCACCCATCCGCAGGAGGGGGTTCGTGCGGAATTTTGACTTAAATCCCATTTGGGAACCAGACGACAGGATCTCTCCCGCTCCCTCCACGTTTTTTGCCGAGTCGTGCTCGTGTTTCTGCTTATGGATCGACTTCGAGTTCTTGCGCCCCATCTTCTTCTTCTTTTTCTTCTCCACCTTCTCCATTTCCGACACAGTCATGTACTCTTGGGTTGACATGGGCTCGTCGTCAGGGAAACCAGCCTCTGCTAATTTGCTCTTAACGGGAGGGCTCTTCTCCTCGTAACTGACCACAATCTCTCCGTCCTCACTGCCAGAAGCCGGTGCCTTGCCTGCTGCCACTCCAATCTCACCTTCCTCCGTTTTGATGCCACCTTGGAACATGTCCAGCTCTTCTTCCGTCATGTCGAGAATCTTGTGGTCTGAGACGACTTTCTCCACCTCCTTTTCTCCTCCATTCTCCTCCGAAGGGATGGCTAGAAGTGCAGCACCTGTTGCGGCCAGGAAGGAGTTGGAGGCCCCGTTCTTTTTTCCTGCATGACCAGATCGTAAGTATCTCACACTTTATAATCGCTCGTAAAATAATTGCCTTTCTTGTCTTTCTGTTTCTTTTTCTTTTCCTTCTCCTTTTTCTTCGACTTTTTGTCCTCCTTCTTCCCGGGTGTGGTGACCTCACTTCTCTCCAGCTCATGGGTTTCACTAGTCTCCTCAATTTCTGCCTCGACAGTCACTGTTGCTGGAAGATCCACCACATCAACTTCTCCCTGTAAAGACATAATTATAAATCACATGGTGAAACTTTCCTCTTTCCTAGGCTTTCTACGAAGAAATAAATTCCCTGAAACGATTTAAACAGGCACTTTTGATGTGCCATTAACTATTTGGAATATACAGTGCAATGTCTGAACAAGGTAAACTATGGGATCGATGATTTTGTCCCTTGTAGAGAAGTTGTTCCTGTCTCGGAACTCAGTAATACACTAAATTATTAGCATGGGGTGAGACAAGTGTCCTTGTACAGAGGTCGTCCCTATCTCAGAGGGTCCCTTATCAGAGGCTCCACTGTAATACTTATTATGCACACCTGCATGTTGAAGATGGTCATTTGAGATGGTCCTTCTGTCTGTTTCTGAGGGGCATTAGAGGCAAACTTCACGACGAAATCAGCCACCCCGGGCTCCTGGCTACTCAGTGCCAGCGAGTACGGAGTGTTCCCATCCTGTGGGACAATCCACCAAAATAATTATTATTATTAACGTGGTCTTGGTTGTTGGAGGAATTAGTCTTACACTGTTCACAGCATACAGGTCAGCTCCACTCTCCAGTAACAGCTTTAGCATTTCAATCTTCCTACAGTAGGAACAAAGTGCTCGCTTAATACTTTTTAGTACTATTATATACATGGAACGAATGCAATGCATTGTTGGCGGGCAAACGTAAGTGAGTCATAGAATACAAGCTTTCAATCGCTCATTTATGACGTTCATATATAGTGTACGCAGTGCATGCACAGTTTCAAAGTGACAGACACTTGAGTTCAATTACTGTAACTAAGTCCGTTCGCATTCAACTTGCCACCGGAAGTGAGCAGTCAAAAACTGCTTACCCAAGTAAAAGTGCATGCAGGGACAGCTCGCTTTGCTTGCCTAAGTTGCATTGTACTTCGTAGAATAATAGCGATGGGTAGCAATGAAGTATAACATTAGTGAAGTAAACTGACTGACCCATTGTCTGCTGCGTCATGAGCAGGAGTGTCGCCATTGTTGTCCTTGCTGGTAACGAGAGTCCCGGCAACGTCGCTGTCAATCAGCCACTTGGCCGTCTTCATCTGACCAGTAGCTACGAAACAAGCCACCGGAGACAGAGAGAGAGGGAGAGAGAGAGAGAGAGAATTAGACCAGTAATGAGAGCAACAAACACTAGGGTTGCTCACATGATGCGAAGTGAAGCGTCGTAGCTCCATCTGGGACGGTGTCAAAGATGACATGGTTGCTTAGCTGGGACACAATGTACTAACAGGGAGGAAAGGAAAAGTGTGTAGATAAACAACAGACACAAGAACATATCACACATAGTGTCCAAGTTAGCTTCAGCACTATTATATCTATCTTCAGGGAGCAAAAATTCTGTTTTTACCTAGCTTTTTAGTACTACACTCTTACCCACCACTTGTCGCTATAAACATTCTTGTCATGCTCTTTGATCATGAGATTTTCCTTCTTTGGATACTTTGTCCGTAAAAAGGATATTGTATGCTTGTAGGTACTGCACACATTTTGTGATGATACACAAACTGCACGCTCTTTACAGAATGAATATACTTGCACTCGAGTGTGAATACCTTCACGATATGGGTGTGTCCACACTGACAGGCTGCGTGGATAGGCTTTCGGCCGTCGTTGCTACGAGATGAAAGATCACACTTTGTCTTCTCGTGGAGGTACTTGAGGGTTGCCAGTCGACCCTCTTGAGCCGCAAAGTACAGCGGAGTTGTGCCTGCAACAGAGAGGGAGGCAAAACTTCTAACAAAACTTCATTACAATAAACTTCCAGAAAAAAGTTGCCTGTGCTATATAAACATGATATGATACACGATAAATTAGAATTAACCAAATCAGATGTGTATGCATCATGTCAAGTAAAAATAATGTGCAGTACTGCGTTAGCTAATATACCTACCATCTGCTGTTTCTTGGGTAAGAAACTTCTTGTTCTTGCTGGCAATCATTTTCAACACTTCAACATTGCCTGTTCAGAGAAATGGATCATTATGACCAACACGATGGTAGCTATAGTACATGTTTACCTGAGGATGCTGCAACGTGTGCAGCAGTAATGCCAGTTTCAGAGACCGCACCCATTCCCTTGGCCCCCAGTTCAGATATTAGCAGTTTGGCGACCTCGTTTCGAGACTTTACAATAGCAAGGTGGAGAGTGGTAAACCCTGCATAATTCAGCACCACAACAGGAATGTTGAGTCTGAACATTGATCTGGTGTGCCACGCAACTCGGCGACCCGATAAAGGCGAAACGATCATCGGCGATGCCTTCGATATATTCACAGGTGGGAAAGGATTTAATCAGGCAACCGCTGCAGCACGGTTAGGTGCCGAAGTCACGCTTGTCGGAAGTGTCGGTGCAGATCCTTTCGGGGAGATGCTACTCACAGCGATAGAGAATGAACATATTAACAGCAGGTTTGTCACAAGACGTACGGACATCGGCACAGGCGTAGCAACAATCGTTATTGAACCGGATGGCGACAATAGCATTATCGTCGTGCCACGCGCCAATATGGCACTCACGACAGCAGATATAGATGCTGCCGCCGATTGTATCGCAGACGCGGATGTCCTCCTCTTACAATTAGAGACTCCGATCGCGACATCCGAACACGCAGCGGCAATTGCCAAAAAACACGGCACAACGGTGGTCCTAAATCCTGCACCTGCACAACCACTGCCGGATAGCCTTTTAAGATATGTTGATATTCTTACCCCGAACCAATCCGAAACAGAACTGTTGTCGGGGATGAAGGTTAGCAGCCAAGAGGAGTCAAGTCGTGCAGCGGGGGTGTTACGTGCCTCGTATGATGGATCACCGAAAACGCTGCTGTCGTGCTAACCCTCGGCGAACAAGGGGCGTTGATGTTGACAGCGACGACATCTGAACGTATCTCCGCCCTGTCTGTTGATCCTGTAGATACAACAGGTGCAGGTGATGCATTTTGTGGCGCGCTCGCAACCGCCTTGGCAAGCGGTGAAACTTTACATTCAGCAGTTGCGTTTGCAAATGCCGCAGGCGCAGCAGCAGTTACCGTTGTTGGTGCGACCCCTTCCATGCCGACACGCGCGAAAATTGAACGTCTATTAGAATCTGAAAATAAAGTTCCTGAGTAGAAAACCGTCCTCTATAGTCTATCAAAGGAAAATAAAATGAAAAAAAGAGTGCTAAATCCCATATTTATCGTGCTAATTATAAACTTAATATTCAGTCCGTCTTTCTTACAGATTTCCGTCGCTGCGGAAAAATGGGAAGCGAACATAAGAAAAGACTTTGCAAAGGTCCTACGAGAAAAAAAGAAGCCTGCCGAGAAACACCGCGAATTTATCCTTAAATGGGAGAAACAGGGACGACTCTCCACACTCCTAACGCTTTATGAAACAGAAAAAGAGAATTCTCAGGGACAGCAGCCCTCATCTCCTGCAATGAAGGCTGGTTTCTACTACGGCTTAGGCTACGTACACGCGCTTGAGGCTACGAAAACCGATGAGGCGTTTGACACGGCGGTCCCCTATCTACAACGCGCCCTTGAAATTGAGCCAGATCTGTTTTGGGCACGTTTCAATTTGGGTGGTATCTATCAACAACAAGGTAACAACGAATTGGCACTTGCGGAATTTGAGGTGTGCGTCCGTTTGAACCCTAACTACTACCCCGTTTACTATCGGATCGGTGAGATTTATCGGAAACAGCAAAACTACACAGAAGCACTCAACGCCTTTGAGACAGCGCGAAAGTTAAATCGGAAATGGGAATATCCACAATACGGTATCGGTTTGGTCTACTTCGCACAAGGTGAGACAGACCGCGCCCGCGAAGCGTTTGAAAATATTACGCATCAAAAGAAAAAGTTCGCACCCGCCTACATCAAACTTGGCCAAATTCTCGCTACACAAGGATTTTTCGATGACGCTTTAGCAGAGTACGCCAAAGCTGCACAGTACCAAAGCCACTCGGCACAGGAAATTTACGAACTGGCGGTTATCTTTAATGAAAAAGGCAATACAGATGGCGCGATTCAACTCTATCAACGCACAATAGAGACTGAGCCAACCCATGGGCAATCGCATTTCGCGCTCGGGGAAATCTTTTATGCCAGCGGCAATACCGAGGCAGCACTACACCATTACCAACAAGCGTTATCCATCATGCCGAACACTAAGGACGTTTTCTATGAACCGTTGGAACCTTACTTCGCAGGGTTGATGACACCGGATCAAGCAATGCCAATTATAGAGAAAGCGATGTTCGTCCTTCCCAACGATCCGCGTTCCTCCTTTTATGCAGGCACTATTGAAGCCGATGCAGGCAACACCGAAAAAGCCATCCAACATTATGAGAAAACAATTGAAATAATTGAAGCGGACGCAAGTTATCTGCAAATTGAACTCCTTTAGGGAATTTCAACGAAGTTTACTTCAAACTCGGGAAACTTCACCACCAACAAGGTGATGTAGACACAGCGGTAGGTTACTTCAAGCGTGCATTGGAGTTGAACCCAGAGTTGGCGGACAGATTCATTGCACAAGGGCAACGTGCTTTCAATGAAGAAAACTATCAAGATGCGATTGAGCCTTTAAATATCCACCTCCTCCTATTTCCGGAAGATGTAAGTGCCACCTATCTCCTTGGTCAAAGCTACGAGGCAAGCGGCGATGCAGACAGTGCGATCAGTTTTTATGAACGCACTCTGGTATTAGACCCACAACGACCGGATGTGCTTTTCAAAATGGTTCACATCTACCGAGGACACGAGGCGCATCAACAGGCGGTTGATACCTTACTACGAATTATTGAAATCGCACCTGAAACCACTGAAGCACACTATCTGTTGGCACTGTCCTATCTTTCACTACAGCAGCCGAATGATGCGCTACCAGCATTCCTCGAAACTATTCAATTGCGGCCTGACGATGTCGCAGCACATTACCACGCAGGAATCCTGTTTGAACAGAATGGTGAAATAGACAATGCCATCGTGCATTACGAGAAAACGATTACGCTTGATACGACCTTGATTGAAAGCGACATCGGGCGTAGCCTACAAACCCCGATGCAAGGGGTCAAGGCAACAGAAGTCGAACCGTTTTTCCGTCTCGGTGCTATCTATCGTCAACGCAACGATGAAGATAACATTCTTCGCGTCTATCAACCTGCTTTAGAAATGGAACCCGAGCACCCTGAAATCCACCACCTTCTCGCAGTTATCTTCGAGAAACGGGACGAGCGTGAGAACGCGATTCGCTACTACGGATTGGCGAACCATTACAACTCAGATAACTTCGACTGGCACTACAGTTACGCACGCCTGCTCGATCGGCACGCCGAAACGCTCGGAGATGACTATCATAAACACGCTGAAATGGCTGTTACGGAATACACCACAACTATTGCTCTGAATCCAGACTACGTGGATGCCTACTTCTACCGTGGAATGCTCACACTTCGTTATCGGCAGATTGGCAAAACGCTTTATCGCTACAGCCAAATTTTAGAGGATTTCAAACAGGTCGCTGACTTTCAACCCAAAAACCGTGAGGCGAACTATAATATCGGTGTTATTTACCTCGAAATTGATAGACACAACCTCGCAAAAGAGGCATTTAAAAATATGCTCTCTTACGCGCCAAAATATAGAGGGATCCACCTACATCTGGGGAAAATCGCAGAATGGGAGCAGGCATGGAAACAGGCAATCCAACACTACGAAGCGGAAGCCTCGCTTATTCAACAACCGCCCGAAAAAGGGGACGAGATTGCCGCCAAGACGTATCAACGCCTCGGTGACCTTTACTACGCTCATGCCTTGGATTACAACATGGCGAAAGAGACGTTAGAAAAGGCGATCGCTTTAGACGACACGCATGTACCGACACTGCTCAGTTACGCCAACAACCTTTTCAGTATGGATTTACTCGGTGCTGCTGCGGAACAGTTTGAACGTGTGATACAACTGGAGCCAAGTAACCTGACTGCGAACTATAACCTTGCATTGATGTATGAAATATACCGAAAAACGCGAGCAGGCGAAAGCACAATGGAAACGCTTCCTTGAACTCAATCCGCCAGAGCAGTGGAAGATTGAGGCAGAAAAGCACCTCAATCAATAACACCTATGGATATTACGTGCCTGCGTGCAACGCTTCAGACTGCATTTATCGGATGCCAGATTGAGCATCATACGCAAGTTGCATCCACTAATGATATTGCTATTGCACGCGGGAAAGTAGGCGCACCAGAGGGAACGCTCGTAATTGCGGAACATCAAACCGCAGGTCGTGGCAGATATGGCAGAAAATGGGAGGCACTACCCGGAAAGTGCCTCCTTGTGTCGGTTGTGCTTAGACACCGGCTGCTGCGCGATCAAGTCGCACTCCCGAATCTTGTCGGTGCAATCGCGATTGCGCGTGCAATCCGTACAACATACGGACTTGATGCCCGGATTAAGCCACCTAACGATGTCCGTATTAAGGAGAAAAAGGTAGCCGGTGTACTAACAGAACTCGCTTATGACGCGCAGCAGCATCCGTTTTTTGTCTTAGGTTTCGGTGTGAATGTCAATATCACTTTAGCGGATTTTCCGCCCGAATTGCGGGAAACCGCAACCTCTGTGCAGATAGCGTGTGAGCACTCCGAAGATCAGAACCCCGAAGTCTGTCGCACCTCACTATTACAGACGATACTCTGTCAGTTGGAGGAGACCTACCTACAGCTGAAAGCAGGTGAGACAGCCTTAATCATGGAGCAGTTTGAGGCATTGCGTGAAAATGAAAATCGTCATTAGTGCCTGTCTCTTAGGCGTTCGCTGCCGGTACGACGGTGGCGACAGCCGAAACGACACAGCAATAAAACAAAAAGAAACGGACGAACTGATCCCTGTCTGTCCGGAAGAGGCAGGTGGGTTGTCAACGCCGCGCCCGCCCGCGGAGATTGTCGGCGGCGATGGGGATGATGTCTTAAATGGCAAGGCAAAAGTAATGACTGCTGATGGCACAGACGTGACGGAGGCATATTTGAAGGGCGCGCAGCACGCTTTACAGGTTGCACAATCTCACGGGGCAACTCAGGTGATTCTCAAAGCAAGGAGTCCATCCTGCGGGTGTGGGGATATCTACGACGGGACTTTCTCAGGCACACTCACGACCGGCGACGGCGTGACCACTGCCCTCCTAAAACGCCACGGTATTACCGTCACCTCTCTGTAATTCCCACAGATTTGAGAGTTGATCCTCGCTGAGGTTATGGCGGCAACACACTTCTGCTTGTGAACTTTCACCGCTGAGTGCTTCAAGAACAACTTTCGCTGCTGTGAAAGACAATACCGGGAAATTCACTTTTTTGGTAAAAATTTCGCAAAATAAATTTGACATTCATAGTTTCTTGTGGTACACTTGTTAATTGTGTGTCAAATGCTCAAATAGGAGCATCAAGCGAGGTGCGATTCCTCGTTTGGCAGATTTTTTTAAAAATAAATTTGACATTCATACATTTCACACGCGCAATTCCCCTGGACCACACTGATCACCGTAGGTGGTGGCATAATTACTTTGGGATTGACCCTATGGCTGGGTAAAGATTAGCCCTGATGATGGTGCTTAGACAGGCACCCAAGCCTTTTACCACCCGCCACCTTTAGGTCGTGGGTCTCACGCGATCAAGATTCCAAAAAGAGGAGAGTCAGATGAAACAGAGCCGAGTTTGGACAGTCTTTTACTGCACCAGTGTCATTTTTATGTCTATACTACTTCACGGTTGTGCTGGCACGAGACACACCCCCACGACACAGTCTGTGCCCATAGTGACAACAGAGACACACACAATAGTAGAGCAGCGGGTAAAGTCTCCTGAAACAAGTGCCTATGAAATGAAGGTTGTCAGTGAAGAACGGGCAAGGACGGTGTCCACCCAGACAGGAGAGACTGTTTTCGATCCGCCCCGCTCCCCGAACGCTCACACAAAACACGGACATTCCGCTGGGAATACGGGTTGGTATTTTTATACCCTCAGTCTATTCCTCGCGGCTTTTTACTTGCTGAACCATTAGGCATGCTCGGAGGTTCACCACACGATGACGGATCGGAAGTTCGCGACAAGGTCATCGTGTGGGGGCTATCACTCAGTGCTCTGACACTGTTAATGTTTCGCAAATCATCACCACAGCAACCGGGACATCCAGAGGCACTTCAGAAAAAAGAAACACACTCACATCCACATCCACATCCGCATCCGCATGACACACAAGCCCTGCCGACACCACCGGGTGAAAAACCCCCTACACTGGAGACTGCTGCTGCACCAAAGAGTCCTTCTATGGGGCCTGGAAACGCTTTTCAAAGCGCACTTTCCCTTTCGGAGACAGATCCATTACTTGCCTCTGAGAAACTACACGACATCGCAGCGGAATTAGGAGATGGCGACCCGAAGTGGACAGAATACTACCACCTACTTGGACATAGTATCGTCAACAGACCACCAGGGCCCCCAAAGGTGGATCATACCTCACCTTAGATGACGCGGCGCGTTACTATGTCCTGAAAGATGAGTTAATGGGGATCCCTGAAGACGACAAAAAATATATTAAGGACCTCCAATTAAGCCTCAGGTGGAATAAAGAGGGGAAGCAAGTTGTCCAGCAGACACAGCCGATCCGAGACCTTTTAGACTGGATGAAAGAAAACGCTCCCACCGAATGGGAAACTGTGAATCCACATTTTTGGGAAACGTTAAGTTCTCGGAACGCTGCCCCGTACCCGCTTCGTGAAGAAAATTGGCGCGGCGTTGACGCGCGTGTCGATACTCAATACAATGCCTTCTTGGAGTCCCTGGATCTACTCCCCGAAAATTCACGCACTCTCCAAACGCTATTTGAAAGTTCCCATGAAACTGCACAGGTGAAGCTTTCCGAGGACCAGAAACAAATACAAGTCCTCCCCCCGCAAACGTCCGAATCGTCAACGGGAACCGAACATACATGGGATATGCGTCACGAAGCCGCCGTTGCGATAGACGATATCTCAGAACAGATCGTTAAGACGACTCAAAAACCCCTTGAAACGATCACTGCCGAGGCGGATCCATTGAGAGGTTTTCAGACAGACGATTTTGCCACCCAAGACCTAACGACAACATTGGAAAAAGCCTTTGAGACACCATTGTCTGCAGATCGAAAAAAACGTGCCCTGTCCACTTTGATGCAATACGGTCCCGAAGACGGGCTCCGCCGTCTGAAAAAAGAGGATCCTGAGATCGCGGAACACATTGGAAAACATTTCCCTAACCAACACCTCTCACAGCAAAAATAAGAACATCTCGTTCATGTCGCAGAGGCACACGACGTTCACTTTACTGGGTATTGTATTCTGTTATCTAACGATCTTCTTGTCTAAGCTCAACCATTTGGGGCACAATCTGCAGTCTGTCGTCGGGGATTGTGGATGCATCTGTCAGCGTCGTTGCATAAAAAGTTCTCCTGAAACACCCACTGAAGCCGACGCTCATTGAGACCCCTTATTTCATTACTTCTGAAGATAGAAGTCTGGGCTTTTTATGTTTTGACGGTATATTGTGGTTTAACTATATCTGGCTTCACAAGCCGGTTCTGTCCGCTTTGTGGCAAAGTGCTTTCTCTATGTGGCTCTTAGGTATCAAATTCACCCTTCGCAGTGTTTCCGACTGCCGAGTGCAATTCTCAGCACACTGGCTGTTTGGATCACTTACCTCATCGGCGTTGAACTGTTGAGCAAACGTGCTGCCCCTCATGCCCTTCCTCTGTTTGTTGGCCCTCTAGTGATGTACATGTATGATGATTGTATTTGTATCTGACAAATATCAATGTGTAATTATTGATGACAATTGTGTGACATTAGACAATTCTCTTGTTTGAAATCTGTTGACACTGGCTCCTGGATGATGCCCCCTGCCCCTTGCTTGCATATGTTGTTGTTGCTGATCGGCAGCTCAAGGCAACAGCGTTCTCTATGTTGTGAATGCGGGTACCAAATGTGGTAACTTCTTTAGTGTGTGATGGTATTATGCAGCTGTGTTCTACATGCGAACTGGGGGATTTTACGAGTCTATTCGAGACCGTGAAACAGTTGGGTGTGCGGTTGGTATGTCCTGTTATGCAGGGAATCGGACAGGGGTGCTATTCCTTGATAAAAACGATTCCACGCATTCATCGTGTCGGGGTTGCATTGGCGGGCGTTCTTGCCCCATGTACTTTCGTTGGCGGAAAAAAAAAAAGAAGTTTAAAAAGAAAAAAAGAAGATTGTCTCCTCAAGTCGAAACATTTTTTTGTTTTGTTGGGAGTAACGCTTATCGTTGCGGGCCCCTGGATGCTGTTTCACCGTACTAGTATTTGCGTATCCCATAGAATTTCTAATATCCCAAAACCGTGTCACCTTCTCAATTCACAGAGGATATTCAAGGGTGGGGTGCCCCTGGTTCTTCAGTCCTTCCATATACACGTCGACATTGTGAGTTTTTCTTCACACTTCCAAACCGTTCTCCGCCGATTTATGCCCCCCTCCCCGCGAACTTTTCAGATGGAAGGAAGGAATAAGAGTGTCAGTATTCTGCACCTACTTATGCGTGGGGGTTCGGTTTTTTTGTTGTTTCCCCGTTTCCTATCGCAACATCAAAAATCCATTGAGCTAACCTGATGGGTGCCCCTGGCACCTTATCGGTCTTGCATTGGGGCCCTTACGTGTGAGCGAACACACACGCACATAAATAAAGGACCGTACCCGTTGCGAGGGCACCTGCGCAAATGCTGGGCGTTTTATCTCATACTCCTGTTTTTCGGAGAAGCCTTTTCTGCGTGGTGGATAACCAATATTAACGTTATAGGAGTTAGCATTACTTGCCAGAGATCGCCTCTTATGTGGAAACACACTTGCCTAAAAACGCGGTTCTCCTCACCGAGGAGAACAACGAAAAAACAGAACACTACTCTCTTTACCTTATGTTTCAGACATCACACACAGCCTATCCGTATCATTCCGAAGCCGCTTGGGAAAAAATTAGCAAAAGAATTCAACAACGCGGCGGTATTCCCTATCTTGTCACATTTCGGGAACTCCCCCTGCCTGTCGTTTTCAAAAGCGAATCGGATTAGAGGATCATTACGCATACACTACAGTCATAATAAGATTCAAAAAAACTTCGTTTTCCGACGCCCTCGCAGCTGCTTTTCGTCCATTAACTACACGATGGTAACAGATTGAAAAAACACTTTTGCAAGAACTTCTTAAAGCGAGAAAACATCTTATATGGTGTTCAGACTCAGATTACTATAGAAAACGTGATGAGTTTTGGAAACTTGAATATTTACGATTCACAAAGGTTGAGCCATAATTCGAAAGGGGAGCTCCACTCTTAGATATTGGCACGGGTGATGGGCTCTTTTTACACTACCTCAACGGACATATCCACGCTGCAGTCGGTATAGATCCACATCTCACACACACCGATAAATAATGGCCATATTTTCCATTCTGATCTTTTCTGTGAAGTTGTTTCCCACGACTTCAATGATAAGTGGAAATATTGACCGTTATATGATTACCCTATAACAGCCATTGAGCATTCATTTCCCCGTGGATAGACTCCCTCGCGTCGTGGATGCCTGTTGGAAACACCTAAAACCGCTGGTGGGGTGTTGGTAACTCTCACAGTGCCACACCCACGCAATGATGGATTTTCTCGATCTGCTGAAGAAGAAGAAAAAACTACGGATGCTCGAAGCGTTTCTCCGCATTTTCGAGAGATTATGGATTTGACCTGTGTAAACCCCCCAAAATTTTTGTCATCCGGTGGGTGCTTTGTGAGTAAAAAGAACGATGGTGTAACTCGGATGACAATTACTCTTTATTTTGATGAAAAAACCTTAGAGACGTTCAGTCACATCGTGAGATCGTGATTGATAAGTGACGCAGATCATGCGAATAGTTCGTTTGCCTTCCAATCACAGCAGATAACGCTTTAGCTAGTGGACGGGAATGTAACTAACTATCGTATCACTACGCATCTGTCTGATCTCGTTTTGGATCCATGTCAAAATATTTTGTGAGGTGGTGACGCCAGTTTGCTGCGCCAATCGGGAGCTATTAGTTGGCCATGGGCATCTCATTAGCAGGTTCTGGTTAGTATGCCACAACCGATGTGTTTGTATTTCCTAGTGACGATCAACTTCAAACGTGCTCGC